CCGAATTGTTCGTGAACAGAAGCGTTTGTGACCCAAGGTACCACTGTATATCCAAACCACAGCACCATAACATTCCACTTACTCCTCATTTACATTTGAATTTGCTGGGGTCACTTTAATCCTAGCCTAATGTGAGGTTTTTACAGCCCTCCAGAAGGCTAATAGAGTAGGGGCTCTCTAAATCTCAAGGAGTCAGGGTACCCTCAGAAAAGGGACCATCTTTACTTATTAATTAACACAGATTTAGCTTTTTAAACCAACTTGCCTGATAATTTCTTGAGACTGGAAAAATTACATATTTTGTAACTTTGAATTGCCTTATAAAGTATGACTCAAAGGGATTTTTTTTTTTTTGAATAGCTAATATGATTGGTTTTTGTCTTTTCAAAGAGATTAGAATGTAAATAAGTATTGTGTTTGTAAATGCCCAGGGCCTAAAGGAACAAAAGCACGGAAAGGAGTGTTTGCAAGGAATGACTAACTGATGTGAATAAGGTTGCTTATTCTGTCCCTGCCTTTGCACATTTTCCTCCTTTCATTGTTGCCCTGCCTGGCCAGGTGAGGATAGGGACAGACAGACTGTTATGCAACAGAATCAGCTGGTGGGGAAATAGTTCAGCTTCTTCCTGGCTGATTGTATTCCTTGTTCCCATAATAAGTGCCAGAGGCGTAGGGAGGACTACAGACTACATGCAACCCTTGGGGGCATTTAGTGTGATTTTGCATGTCCTCCCCAGACTTACCTGTGGTGCAGCCGCTGTGCAAGTTTTCTGAAAGCCCTGTTCCTGCTAACTCCAAGGCCAAGGAAGACCTCTCATTGCAGAGCACCAGAGCTTCTGACCTTCTGTGAGAGCTTGTGAAAATTGTGAGTTCTGTGGTTGTTTGGGCCTTACAGGAACAAGGCCTTTCAGAAAATTATTAGTGTAGAAGCAGGGAAACAAGTCCACAGATATGAGAACAAATGGAAAATGGCAGTCTTTTGGTAAAACCTTCTCTGTCCATCGATCTCAGTTAGATTAAGATCTTGGAGTGGGGTGGGGAAGATTCACCTTCCTTTTCCAGTGAGCACACTATAGCTGAGAGAGAGAGATTTTATGTGTGTGCATCTCTCTTTTGTCCAGTTACAGTGGGACAAAAAAGTATTTAGTCAGCCACCAATTGTGCAAGTTCTCCCACTTAAAAAGAT